AGCATCCTTTTCACTGTACACAGTCACCAGCAGCTGATCAGTGATCAGTGATACACAGCATCGTGTTCGCTGCTTCCTCTCGGAGGGACACTGTCTCTTTAAGACGGATAAAGCCCTCAGCTCCGCACGAGCGGACGCATCTCTTTATATTTCACCATCCACCGCTGCTGCGACAGTTCTCCATTATTCACCGTATGTTCCAGCAAATCTTCATTTAAGTGAAGTGTCGGTGGGCATTTGAAATCCTGGATGGAGAAGCGAGACGCTGGACGCAGCCGGTTTGCTCTGTGGTGCGTAATTTATCCGGTCAGTCTTATTTGTGACATTCGTTGACGATAAATCTGCTTTACATGGTTTTTTCTCGTTACATTTAACAGAATATTGTAACAAACTGTTGCTTACGTGTTATTCTCGAACCCCACACGCCACGGTGGAGATATAACCACGTAACGAGGGAAAGATGCGTGTAAAGTTGGTTCTGTGTATGACTGTAGTGGCCATCTTTGGTTTGTACTTTGAACCGAGGCTGGTGCAGCGTTGAGCAGATGAGATGCTGAAGCAGTGATTTTATTCCATGCAACGGGACAAAGCGTTATTAAGACTCAACACTGACACTGTGACAGAATGAAGGCAGTCACTTTATAATGTATATATTATTATAACTTTATAGTAACATGGTGCAAACAGCCACACTGCTGCGGGGATATGGCACTAAAATCACTGCAGGACCCTTAACAAGAAAGTGATCTAGAACTGTTACAGTGCCATGCAATACAAGTCTTGTAAAACTACAGTACTTTCTATATATTGAAAGTTGTATTTGATTAATATGAATAATAAATGCGTTTCCATTTCCAGGTCACTTAGTGTAAAGAGATGAGTGTAAAGCTAAAGTACACAAAGGGTGGAGTATATTGATTTTCTCGTTCAGCCATTAATCTGTAAGTGATGCACATGAAATCCGTTATTGTATTATACTGTATGGGCTCATGTCTCATGAGGTTCTGTACTGTGTGTTTGTTTCTGTAATTCAGTCTTTCATCATGACATCAAAGCTCACTGCAGTTGTTCACTCATCACACCCTCCTTCACTTCACACATATTCTCTAATACTGCTCCACTTCAAGGCTGCTCTAAAAATATTTTTTCTAGGCTGCCGTGTCACTCCCACTTTTTACACCAGGGAGACAAGAGCAGGAAATTGCTTCCATTTTAAACTTTCATCCAGTGGCAATCACATGTAGATGGGAAGATGATTAGTATTCTCCTCTGCTCTATGATTTGGATGTTTCTATACCACTGTTACAATTACACAGGCACGGTGTTTAACGAGTTAAAGCTTCACTAAACCTTTTCTTCTTTTGCAGTGTGGAGAATCCTGAGCTGCAGCACTAACTCTGCTGCAGTCCTCCACACAGCCCTTCTCTCACAGAGGGGCAGGCTGCTGGTTGTGAGCTTCCCATCCCTTTTGTTGTTTTACTACATCCTGTGCACCAGCCAGCCAGTGAGTGAGGGACACTTCAACTTCTCTTGGAAAAAAATAAACAATAATGGAAGACAAACGCAAGAAGCGCAGCCCAAAGGTCTCCCTCCCGCAGCCTCCTCCTCCCCCCATCAACCCCCGCAAACTGTCCGTCATGCCTGCCAGCAAAAGCGCCACCTTCTCCCTCGGCCTGCCGCAGCCTCCCTCCCCCAAGAACAGAGGCAAGTACAAGAGGTCCATAGGTGCGCCGGGCCAGCCCAAAGAGGTGTTCGCAGCCGTCGTGGCTCCACCAAAGACCACCAGGTGTGTATCTATGAGTAACAATGAAATCCTCCAGAAAACATTTATATGCATTTATAAAAAACTGCTGCAAACTCTTTTTTTGCTTTTCAATCCTAGCATCCTTTGTCCTCCACACTAGAATGGCAGTCAGTACAGTTCATGCCTCAGCCAAGGCCCAACAGTCCCCTTATTGAACCACCATTAAATTCACTAGATCTTGATTTTTATTGGGATCTGCCCCACCAATGCATTCACTCATAGATATCAGAACATGCCTCTGTTTTTTCATCAGGATCCATGAATTATTGTCTGAGAAATTGCACCCTATCTTAATGTTTAACAAAAGGGTGGAAAAAAATATTGGATCCACATTTACATTTACATTTAGGGCATTTAGCAGACGCTTTTGTCCACAAAATGTAATGGGTTTGTCCTTGGGTCATGTCCTTGGGTCATGTCCTTGGGTCATGTCCTTGGGTCATGTCCTTGGGTCATGCCCCACCCCTCCACAAATGTTAATGTAAATTGTGTTGAGCAGTTTTTGTATAATCCTCCCAACTAACAAATGCAGATGAAAACATAATGTCCTTGGGTGGAGGTAATAATGTGACATCATACAGTGTGGATTAGCTCTACCAAAGTTACAAAGTTGCTCTTTAAATGTCGTCACAAGCCCTGGTAAGCAGAAACAGGAGGCAGGTCGCCAGTGATGTTTTCTGTCTGTTTCTCCTTAGGCCCCACAAAGAGAAGCCCAGGGCCCCACAGCCAGCAGGGCCCAGTAAAGTAGTCCAGTCTTCCCCCTTGCAGCATTCATTTCTCACAGACGTCTCAGACGTGAGAGAGATGGAGGGAGGCCTCCTCAATCTCCTCAACGACTTCCACTCAGGCAAACTGCAGGCGTTCGGTAAGCTTAGCTTGATTAGACTGGCCACCGAGGGAATATTTTGTTACAGGCTGAAAGCAAAGCCAGTTGAAAAGTGGCTTTGTTACTGAAGTCAAATAGTGGCTGTGCTATTTTTATCTGCTGCCATGGTAATACTGCTGGTAATACTTTTGACTTTGCTGTAGTCCCCCTGCAACCAAAAGTGCTATAACAAAGTCACACCTGTCTGGTCTCACTCCTCTGTTTTGTAGGTAAGGTGTGCTCTTTTGAGCAGCTGGAGCATGTGCGCGAGATGCAGGAGAAGCTGGCGCGATTGCACTTCAGCCTCGACAGCCACGTTGAGGAGCTTTCAGAGGACCAGAGGAAGTGTGCCTCCGACCACAACCTGGAACACCTGCTCAGTAACGTGAGTGCAACCACAGCAGCAGAGAGTCATCTCCATAGAACATAATCTCAGTTTTTAGCTGGTCATGAAGTTATATGAATGTCTGAATATCAAGCCTGTAAACTAATAAAAAAAGACTTTCTGCACATCAAGAAATAAGATGGTGTCTACTAAGCCACGAAAACAGCATCATGTGAGTCTCCACTGAAAAACCCTTCCTTCAGTTGAAGTGGGTTCATTGTTCCTGAAAACAGAACGAACCAGGTTTTGTAAAGACTATGAAGTAAAACACTGGGGAAATTATTATGAGGAATAGTTCTTATACATGTTGCTCTGGAAGAGTTTTCAAGAAGTTTGGAAAAATAACATTGATGATGTCATCAGGATTATGTTATTGGGTAAGACTTAAATATGTTGCCAATGACAGAATATATAAAATGCACATAAATAATCTTTTCATTTCTTTCCCTGTTACCTGTGAACCTAAGTTTCCAATGAAGCAGACACGAGTGAAAGCTCATACACAGTAAACACAACACTAAAGAAACCCTGAACACACCTGGTAATAACGTGGTTTTTGTAATCCAATCACAAGTCCACAGCTCTGAGTGCATGCATTCATGCCTGGCATACAAATGTGGCCCCACATGAATCACCTCCCCACTCATTACAAACAAACACGTTCGTCATTTCTCTTCGTGTGTGTCTGTGTCGGCACAAGCGATTAAAAGAGAGGTAGAGAGGAGGAAGGAGAGTCTGAATGAAAAGATTGGACCAATTTAAGGACGGTATCGATCATTCTGTGATGATCAGAGTTGATATTGTGGTCACAAACAAATCAAGAGAAGAGGAAACAATCTGATCTGAGTGCGTTCACTTAGAGCTGTTCACTTAAGTTTGGATCACTGGAAACATAGGTGTAAATAGGTCAATGAATTTGTTGGACTCATGGTTAATGTTATGAGGAACACTAGAGGCGGCTGTGAAAGAGGTCTATGATGAATATATTAACATTGTTATATGCCTTACTGCACATGCACTCCCAGTGTTAATTATTATCCAGCACAATCACTGATGGGCAAAGCGATTCTATTGTTAGCGTGTTGTGTGGCTCCTAGTTACCCACGCCTGGGGCTGCTCTGCTCTCAGTGGGGAAGCTGCGGTGCTGTGTGTGAGGGAAGTGAGAAAAAGACTTCACTTGCCAGGAATAACTTGCAGCGAGTGGATAACTGTGCCTCAGAGCAGACGGGCTGTGAAGTGACTTTTCTTTGTGTAGATGAGGAAATCAGATCACAACTCTGTAGTGATGAGGAGAATTTAATTCATACCAATGCGCCACACACAGGCTGTTATGTCATATGATCATGTTTAGTGATGAGTGCCCTGTAGTGTCACTTAAGCTGCTATTTGTGGCTGTTCATATTTTCAATGCAATCTCTTATGTCATTTGTTCCATTTGTTTCCGCAGCTGGAGGAGCTCAGCACCTCCATGTATCCTTTCCTAATTGAATGTGTGTTTATTTATGGGAGTCAGCCAGCACTCCAAGGTGCGCCAACACTTGATTTAGATAATCTGTGTTCACTTCAGTCCCTCCATGTGAATCCTTAACGTGCCCGTGTTCAGACAAAAGCTCCACTTGGCTGAGAACCAGGACCTGCCCAAGACATCTGGCCCCTGACAAGAGCGAAGGTGTGGAGGGCGGCGACAGCACACTCATCTTCTCCCAATGTCTAACCGTGGCCAGGTTGCCATGGCATTGATCCAGCTGCCTTAGAAACAGAATGGAAAGACCCACAGGAGGAGGAGGAGCCATTTTCCCTCATTTGGTCAGTAAAACCAAGGGAATAATACAGTAGCTTAAAGCAGCACAGCATTAAATGTACCAAAATTATCCTCCCCTCGTTAATGAATCAGAGGGTGGACTTCACAGTTGAAGATGAACGAAACCGGTTGTTACAGTTTTGAACATTTATCAACTAACTTCAGTTAGTAGTTACATCATTTGGTAACAACTGAATCCCAGCGCGTGAAGTTGTTGCTTGTATTTTCCTTACAAAAAGCACATTTTATGAGAGCTTAAGACAATATTTTATTTATTTCATAATAAATGCAGTTTTGCTTAATTTTAGAACCTGTTCAGACCTGGTATTAACATCCATCCACAAAGATCTGATCACAACTGGTATTAAAGTGTGTCCTGTGACCACTTGGTAATGGTATCTTATATATATATATATATATATATATATATATATATATATATATATGATATCTTGAGCATCTTGCTCAAGGACACTTTAGCGTGCAGATGGGGAAGAAAGGGATTGAACCACTGTCCTTCTGGTTGGAGGATGACTGCTCTACTGCTCAAGCAAAGCCGCCCTGCTCCTGATCGGATCTCGCTGCCCCTATATGCAATAAATCACGTACGTCATTTGTGTTCACGAAGCCCACATGATGTTTAAATCCAGTCTGAGTTTATAGATGTGCACAATGTGTGTGTGCCTCTGTGTGTAAGTGCGCAACATAGAAATCATTATGGGGGAATCAGTGTTGATATTGTGGCTACAAACAAATCCGTGTATGGTCAGTGAAAAGAGTACAAATTTCTTTGATTTATTGTGAAACTGTAGCGCGTCAGATACGTGGCTTTTCATATGTGAGGATTTGTGTTCATGCAACAAAACAAATGTGGCTCAGACAACCTCAGAATGGGTTTTGAGGACACATTTGTGTGGTCACACCACTTATGATCAGATCACTCAGGACGGATGTTAACACCAGGTCTGAACGTCCTTGATTGAACACGTCTGCCAGTAAAGGTGTGAATATACTTTCGTATCGAATAGCAAATGTATTTGGCCGTTTTTTGACAAAACCACTGTGGTTAACTCTGAAGTTTAGAGGAAGTTTTCACCTTTTGCTATTATTCTGAATGCACTCACTCATTTTATATATTTGCTAAAAGTTTAATACTGACTGGATTTCAACAGTATCTGGATGATCCTCTCTTTGAAAAAGGTGCATTTTAAAAGGGACAGTGTGAGGAGACCTCTGTACAAAATGTATGTCTGATTAACTTATATGTAAATGTATGTAAAATAGTTGTTTCACCGATGTGCAGTTCAGCTACTGTATTTGCTTACACTGACGGTTGAAAATAATTGAAGTAGGACAATTTTGTCAGTGCTTCTTCAGAATTGCCTTTTGGTTTTATTTTTCGTGAAGGACGGCCAATAGCAGCGTCCCTGCAAGCACAGACTAGTCCCCACTGCTACTGAGATGCTGTAAAACCCTCTTTTTGCAACCTGTAGATCTCAAAGAGAATCTGCAGTTGGACACTGTGTTGGATAATACATCCACAGAGTAATGCAGCTAGCATAAGCCTTTGAGCAGTCCTATTTCAAGATGGCAGCTACTTTCATAGTTTTAAGATTTAGGGGCTTAGATTGATTCAATTCCAAACCTGGCAGCAAAGTACCTTGGCCGGAATATATAATCCCTGACAAGACAGTTGAAGTGTGACATTAGTTTTTAATCTGAAACATTAAAGCATGTCAAAGCATTGGTGCATTTGTTAATTAAAATATAAGTCTTTTGCACTGCTTGCTAAACCTACCTCTTCTACAGGACCTTGGAACATGTGAAATCTCTCGTTTCAGTTTGTTCATCAAAGATCTTTAAGTCAGCTGTTTTCTGTTATTTCACATTTTAAGAGGGTTAATTAGCTTTACACATCATGCCATATGAATTTGACAGTTATAACAACCCAAAAACGCATGTATCCTCATGTTTATCACCAACTGTATCCATGAATAAAGGTAAATCAGGTTAAAGATAGAATGACGTGTGTTTCTTTGACAGAGTAAAATTAAATTTTCATCTTTAAACTAGAATTACCATCCCCCCCACCCCACACACGCACTCATATAAGGTCACAGTGACCTTTGACTACCATATTCTAATCAATTCATTTGTGAGTCCAAGTGAATGTTTGTAACAAATTTGAAAGGATTTCTTCATGGTGCTCTTGAGGTGTTGTGTTCACACGGCAGAAGATGTGTTTTGTGAGGACCAGTGACCTTGAACTTTGACCACAAACATTTTTCATTCTTGAGTCCAACTGAAAATTTGTACCGCATTTGAAGAAATATGGACAACCCAAAAGCACAGAGTTTCCAGCATCTGTCTTCCGCCCTTGCAAAGATATAAAAACTGTAAATGTAGCTTCTCCCTTAAAAATGTGAATGAGGCACCTGCTGTTTAATAGTACCTAAATAAAACACTTTATTTATATATCAGTCCATCTTTGCTCTTGTTCACAAACATAAAGTGTGATATAATTTAACAATAAATGAATGAAAAGGCTACATGAAGACTGGCACTATTCTGAGACAGAGTCAGATTGGGGGCATCACTGTTTCTCAGGCAACCGCTGGAGTAACCGCACTCCTTTATGCTTTCACGCCATCCCCATCCAGGAGCATTAGTCAGAACCCAAGTGTGATCTAATCATCAATGCGCGCACATGGACACACACAGAGAACTGATCGCACAACACAGAGCGTCTTCCCATCTTCAACCGCCTCTCCATCTGATGACTAAACTGCTCAGACCCACAAAAAACTTTAAGTTTGCCTTTTATATATATATATATATAACAAAAATAGAAACTTTTTGATCTTGCCAGTAACTTTAGGTCATGCAAAACAAAAACAAAGAGACAAAATCACCTCATCACATCATTAATATGACTTTGAAACCATTACATGATAGATAAATTGTAAACTGTACCATCGAACAGCATACAATTAATACTGTGCAAATACACTTTAGAGCTGTACAAAGTATTTTGTACTATTATTGTTAATCTCAATTCACAAACATTTAAAACAACTACAGAAGACATCTTAAAAGTATTAACATCGCATCTGGTGCAACAGCAAAAATATACACATTTCAATTCCCTGTCTTCTTCCTTGTCTTTTTGTGCATTTCATTTGTACACTCTACGATAGTGTCTCTGATTTGTCTACAGTACATGTGTTTAGATTATGGGAAAAAAGAAGCAATGACAATAATAGGATGTTATAATGTAAAAGTCATGACATTTATCATGATGATGAGTTACCTTTTCAAAGTGCAAAGAGAGCAGGTTGAGTGTGTGTTTCAGTTGTTCATGTTTCTGTATCAGAAAATCTCACTGAGATAAGAATTCTTTAAGGACTTTGTCTATTGTGATACAAAAGTGCAGGCACTGTGAGAAATGTGGAACATCTCTGTCTTCAAGTAAGATCAGTGTCTAAGAGGGGCCATCAGGGACATTATTCAGAATTACCTCTCACACACACACACACGTGAAATGCTCTTACATACAATACTGAAACACTCTCACATAAACAACTGAAAAATGATTTGCACACTACTGAAATGCTCTCATATAATATACATAATATATTTCACTATAATGTGTGAGAGCATTTCAGTTAAAACGGAAGGTGTTTCAGTAAAAACGGAAGATCTTCGGTTCAACTAAAATGCCAGTTCACAGCGCGATTCACGTGTTGATCGTCAGCCACGTTGTTCGCAACACCAATGACATTTAATGAAATTTTAGTTCTTGTGAGAATTCTGCCCTGATCTGATCCACGGTGCACACAAGCCCCCACCTTGCCTGTCCCTCCTCCTCCTCCACTTAGCTCTCATACAACCCTAAGTGTCAAACCCCTGCAGCCTGCAGGACTCCTCTGACCTGCAGCATCAGTCCCTGACATTGTTTGGTGCAAAATTAACCGCAATACTTAACATTGTAGTGCCCCTGAAAACATTATGTGGCTACTGGCCCGACGTTTCCTAAACAAAGAAACTAAACATTTTTAGGCGTCAAACCTGCTAAAAACGCTTCCCTTTTCATACAAACAGCATCCATGCATAACGCATAGCCTACACGTTTTGTACTAATGAAATCTGTGATTTCAAAGCCTTGTCCAGCTGTTTACTGACGTTTGTCATGTTTAATGAAGAGAGAGGGGGACAGACAGACACAGACAGACAATTTAAAGACAGTTTTACAAATTCTCTGTGGGGAAGAAAGACTCTCTGACCTTCTCCTGCTTGCCATTGAGCAAGACATACAAATAAAAGTGAGGTCATAAAAATCTTCCAAGAGATGGCACCAAGGCTTGAGCACCTGCCCCTAAAATGTCTGTGCATGTGCCTGCATCACATGACAGAAAGGCCTTCCTGTTTAACTGTAATTTTCATATTCACTACTGAACTGTTATAGTTCAATTACTAGTAGAATTCTATATAAGAGCATTTCAGCTGTGTATATGGGCAAATTTTACTAGTATGATGTACTAGTATGTTGTATGATGTACTAGTTGTGTGTGTATGAGAGCATTTCACATGTATGTATGAGAGCATTTCACATGTGTGTGTGTGAGAGGTAATTCTGAATAATGTCCCTGACAGCCCCTCATAAGTGTCAATGTTCTTCTCTTCCAACATTTGGTTGTGTTTGGATTCGGCTTAAACTTTATGAGGCCCTAAGGATCTCTTTTAAATTTTTCTGGATGTTGAAAGGCTGGGAGGCGGCACACACATTCAGACTGGACCCCATCTGGGCGTCAAGGGCTTGGCACAGTTTGGCAGTGGCAGCCCGCACGCTGCCGCCGCAACCGCTGTGGGTGGAGGTACCCAGGAGGTGCCACACTAAGGGAAGCACTTTCTGCTCCACCATCTGGGGTTTGCGATGGTAGAGCTCTGTCACAATGTCTAGAAATGAAAAAAAGAGAAGTCAGACATACTAAATAATCAGAGAGTGGAGGTCAGAATGTATTACAGTGAACAGAATGATCCCAACAGACATACCTGCAACCTTTGCAATAAGATCCACCTTTGCTTTGCCATTTAAAAATTTTGCCTTGGTGCAGAGAGGTTGAAGGAGATGTGTATTATCTGTCATGGAAACAAAGAAAATCACAATATGAAATAAAATTCTCTAAATCAAACATGAAAATTCACCTGTAATAAAATAATCTGAAGGCTTAAAATGAGAACCGAGATTTAAGATGAGTGCATCAATGGCTCCAACAGCAGCAGAGTAGATGGCATTGCTTTTAGAGTTGAGGTGATTATCCACGATTGCAGGGATCAGGATGTTGACCACTTGGGACAGGTCCTCCTTCATCAGGAGGATAATTTTCTGCAGCGACTCGAGGGCGTGCAGGTTGACCTTAGTGTTGGACTCCAGCAGCCGGCCCTTGAAGGCATCAAACACCTGACAGTGGGGAAATGAAGGATGAACAACAAAAAGGTGAGAGATGTCTCTTTCACAGTTAGGTTATGATACAAAATAGTATGATAGTAACTGGAATCTTTGACAAATGCTCATACTAACCGGGAATATACTTTTGATGACCATGTTGGGGTTGTGCTGGCAGTCTTCCACAAGCTGGTTGATTCCCTCTATCCTCTCTCTGAAGTCTTTTGAACCCAGCTGATCTGAGATCTGCTTGATGTATTGACCCTTGTCTACAATGCTCGGAGATTTATAGCTATAATTAGACTCCCTGTAGAAGAAGCAAAATATATCAAATGGTTTACCTTTATAAACCTGTGAGTCAAGTATAAATTAGGGATGGACCTTTAGAATTTTCATTCTAATGATAACTGGGACTCTTTAATCGATTATTAACGATTTACTGACAGGATTAAAACTGTATATAATGGATTGAGCGTCTGACACATCAACAAATAGAAACATGTTTGTTTTACAAGAAGTTAATTTTCATACAAACAGCAGCATAACCAGGAGACTCACACACACAAACAACTTTTCTACTGGGGTTTTTTCAGAAATACAACATGCCCAAATGCTGCCAGTCTGGTACGCAGTCTGTGAACTATGAGACCCACAGAGGAGAATACTTGCTTGGATGGTAACAATGTCAAAAGTTTATTTTAAGAGATAAGCTGATAGTAATAATCTGTCAGAATTCATACAGTCAGCTAATAGTTAATGATGAACAGTTTGTGAAAGTTACAGCTCTGTTTAAAAGGCAAAATCAGTGTTTACAGACACCTCTGCTGTGCTGCTGATAGTCACACCCACCTGTTGGTATGGTTGAGATGCACCCTGGTGAGAGACGAGGCTCTGAATGTTCCACTGCCTGGGAGCGAGCGATTGCCCCTGGCTGACTGGGTGTTTTGACCCTAAAATAACCCACAATCTCTAGGTAAGATGACAGCGTGGTCTTTAGCAATAACATCAATCTTATAAACACAGAGGAAAGAACTGAGCACCTTTGTCTTGAGAGTGCAGACAGTATCTCTAACAGTTGGCAGGTCTTTTGTGGGGATGTATTTCTCCAGGAGCTTGTCAAAGTCAGGATGGGATGACAGGGACAGCAACATCTGACGCCCAAAGTGCCTGTGTGTTGAACCAATGTAATCACAACTCAGACACTGAAGGCCAATGTTAAGAGACTGTAGTTATGACTTTGGCTCCTCAGCCGTGCAAAAGCAGCAGTAAAAGAAAGCATGAAACCTTCTTGTGATCAAAGTACTTTTTCCAAAGTCATATTTAATCCAGGTTTCATACCATGCCACCCAGTACCAGAACAATACAGTACCACCACCACCAACTATGGCATAACAATTCACAGAGCTGAGTAAGATCTGTCTAAAACTGAGAGTGGTTCAGCATTTTATTATGCAGGATTTTCTATTATTCTGGTTTAATTTTGGTGGAAATATTCATACTGTGTTTTCCCACTATCATCTGTGATGTATTTTCTATAGTAATAATGAAAATAAAAACAAAATAAATTCTTAATATGAGCAATGCAAGAGCAAATCTGTGTATAGATTTCAGAGTAATAAAAATGTACCTGACTTCCTGTGAGGAGTCTTGTGCGAGTTTTGTGACAGCAGGTAAAATCCTCTCATTGTGATCTTTACCCCCAGAGAGGAGACGGGCAGCACCAACCTTCTCCACCAGATTGGCCAGATGCTGACTGGTGCATTTTCTCACCATTGCATTGAGGTGACTGTCAGCGGAGGGAGAATTAATGCAGCAATCAAATATTTGAAATTTTGATGTAGACTGTTTGTTCCTACAGGAATTTTACAGTTGGTTAAACAACAATTTATTAAATATGCATACCTGAGTCCTCCAGTGAGTAGAGCGTTGATGCTACGAGTGGGGGTGCAGTGCTGCACCATGCAATCCAGGGCTGCATCAACATCTTGCCTGATGAAGACGTTGGTATCCCCAGCTTTCTGTAGTAAAGTTTTAACTGTCCTCTCCAGCTCCTGGTCCATTGCCTTTTGCATGTGGGTGTAGAGATCACCCACTGTGCACACTGCAAACTTGGACACGCTTGATCGCAAGTTCTTCACCTGAGGATGATGGACATCATCAAGAGTATACAGGCAGTCAAAGCACAGAATATACAGCAGCACAATGACAGCATGTAAAAATCATGTGGGAGTGTTATCCAACAGGTTACGCTACCTCTTGAATGACAGAAAGGCAGACATCATGAAGCCTGGCCTGGAGTATGTCTGAGTGGTGGTGGGCCAGAGAGCGCAGGATCTTTAGGCCCTCAATCTTCTTCTCCCTATATTTAAAAGAAGGAACAAAAGTTGGTGACAAAAATAACAGGTATTGGTCGTTGTAAAATATTATGTAGATACTGTATATATAAAGATAAATCTATAGCTTTAAGATTTTGCTGCATAAGAAATATCACAATATTTGTGATGACCGTGATTTAAAGATTTTTAAACTATTCTCAAACATATGAAAGAGCCCTAGTTTTGAGTTATTCTTATAGTGGATGGAGGGTTATTCACCAGTCCCCAGAATTCAGCAGGTCGAAGCTCTCGGTCAGCGCCAGGTTGGGTTTGGAAAGCGGACACGGCTCCGGGCTATTTGATGGAGAAGGTTGTATCCTCCTGAGGCTGGAAGTCCTCCGGAGCTGCGAGACATTTTTAGGGTTGGGGGGCACTGTGGGGGGGCTCGGCTGGTGGGGCGGAGTGAGGCACTTGAGGGAGCTTTGGGGTCCTGGTGGGCTGTCGGGGTGGCTGGTGCTAAGAGGGGTAGAAAGGTTGTCTGCTTTGGGGGAAGACAGTGTGCTGCCATTTAAATGCAGATCTACAACACAGAAGATCAAAATTTGTTATTTGTGTGATTTTGTGAATAAAGACAATTTAAATTTTACACTATTATCTTAAAAATATATACAGGCAAAAAGCTGAAAAATGAATAAAAGTCAATTTAACATGCTTTAAATTTGCTTTTGATCAAATATAGAAAGGAACTTAGTAGTGGAAACCACCACTTTTTGTCACCACTGCTCCACATTTACCGCCTTGTTTACCGCCACTCATCTCTGCTTCACTGTCCGTGTGTGAGTGTGTGAGTGAGTGAGTGAGTGAGTGAGTGGGGGTGGGGCCAGCCCGGGCCTGTGTGAGCATAAACTCCGCAGAGGAGATGAAATGAGGGAGCGATAGGAGTCGGTCAAATACAGAAGCAAAGCAGTTAAATGTTAGGCGCACCGGTGCGACCAAGGTACATTTTTAGTAACACTGCACTGACTTGGTGGTCGCACTGTGGAGTCCTGGCCAACAATAAAAATTTTTAAATCAATATTTTTTTTTATCTTTATCTTTGACATGACCTTAGTTTGTTCCCTTTTTCATTTCACAATTTATCCAATAATCCAATTTCGGAAAAAATTACATTTGTTATTTGTTTGTGGTAATGAATCCAGTGTTTTCCCTCACCTTTAAAGATTAATGCTCTGTTCTCCTCAGTTGGTGAATAAGACAACATGTGTCTGACACGGTGGCGGATCTTCTCTTGTGCGTTGTCCCCCTGACCACACTCGTGCTGATCCAGAGGCTGCAGCTGCATCCTGTCCTGGCTGAACCTTGTGTTGTTCACCCTCTCCTGGATATACATTCATTAAAAAAAAAAAAAAAAAAAACACACACACACCAGGTGCTACTTTGGTAACAGGTAACATACATGGTTTAATATGATTTACCACTGGATAAAACTACAACTAACCTTATATTCATCAGGACGTGGGCTGTCATCACTGTCTATCTGACTTTCATACAGAGTGTGGTTGTAGACATCAGCTGAGGGATAAGAGGAGGGTTTGGCCACAGTTTCACCCTGCTCAAGTGAAAAGACGACTCCTGGATGGCAGGACACTGCACTGCCAAACATGCCTAAGAAGCACGGAGGAGATGCAGGTAATTTAAATATATGACCGGAAAAACGTACATGACAGTCTGAAATGCTCAGTAACATCATCAGTAATATGATCCACAATCCACAGTAAATTTTAGTATCATAAAATTAGGACCATAAAAAAATTTACTAGTTTGTCTTTGTAAAAAGGACTTTTGGGAGACAGGACATGATCACTTTGAGTCTGTTGTAAAACAGTACTAATGTACAACACTTAATCATTAAGAAAGCAGAAGACAGGACAGATGAACAATGATTTATGGCACACTGACCTTTTCCAATGACTCCTTCGGGCATGTCTGTGCCCGGTGAGTTTCTGCTGCTTTGGTTCTGTGACCCTAAAGATTAATGCAGATAATTTTTGAATTAATTATGCAAGCACACTAAATACAAGCATGTAAATCCATTGTCAACGCTGGCTGACCTTTGGTAGGCTTCAGACCCCTAACTGCTTCATGAAAGTCAGGTTTGACCAAAGGAGGGGAGGTGCCTGTTGTCTCCATCTCAGTTTTGATTGTTCCATTGGAATAAGTCACTCTCTGCCCAACAACACCCACCTCAGGTGACGGTTCATTTCTTAATCCTTAAAAGATCAAAAGACAAAGATGTTTCAACCCAATTCAACAGAGTGGATGAAAAACTCCTTAATCCTTTTCTATACCTTGAAGGCTACTGAAGTCCATGGACACAGAAGACCTCCGTTTTGCAGAAGGCACTCTTGCAATGCGAGGGCCTGTAGAGTTTCCAGGACTGTTGACAGATGTGACAAGTGAGAAATTATGCTGAAAATTTTCACAACACTGCCATAATACAACAACAGAAGTAGCAGTTTATTACTCCTGTGTTGTCACCTGTCAACAGGTTTGTGAGAGGTTTAAAGTTTTCCAAATGCTGCAAAAAGTGCACCAAGATCAAATCAAATGATTTAGTCTATTGGAGAAACCTACAGTAGTGTCATGATCTTAAGTTATTCTATGTCAAGTGTGAGATTAATCATAGACAGACAAAATGAGGATATATTCTCCAAGATCTTGCACCGAACATTTACAAAATGCATCAAAATGTAGGTCTTTTACCTGGTTTTGAAGCCATTACAACTGGTGTCGGCCACCGAGCTCAGACTGGAAAGACCACTTTCACTGGCTGAGCTGGTAAGCTTTGGAGAGGTGTGTGATAGTGAATCCAAATCTAATCTCACAGCAGAGTCGGGGCTGCCTGGATCTGGACTGCTAAGGCCTATTTTGACCCTCTTCTTGGCCGCACTATTGTGCAATGAGCGCAGAGAGTTCCGCATCTGTGAGGAACACACAAATGGGCACAAATGAGCATGGAAAGGAAAAACTGTTAATGGAGCCAAACTTCAACCCCTGAACAAGCAAACAGTGTCCTTATGTACTGGACTTGGAAAAGCTAAGGGTGCATAAACAGACAGTTTGCTGACCTCCTGCTTGTCCAGAGGATCCTCTTCTTGAAGATCCTGCACTGCACTGAAGCCATCAGGGTCCAGCTGAAGGCTCTTTTCTAGCTGTTGGTTCTGAAAGTTGCCTGAAGCATTGTACCTCTGGTCGTTATGAGACTGGGCCTGCTCTCCCGGAGGGACTACTGGTGAGACAGAAACGGTTGCCCTGGTGCTGCTCAGAGCCCGGCGGAAAGACGAAGTGGAAGAGGAAGTCATTAGGGTGGCAAGGAGAGGCCTGGGAGAGCATCTGCTGGAGAGGTCTCCTGGAGGGGAAGGACATGGAACAAAGACAAAAAGGTTATACAAAATAGAGGCCACAACATTTTCACATTTAGCAGAAAACTCTAATACGTATCAACTTAAGTCTTTCTACTAATTTACCCTTTGCTGTTTCTCTCCAGGGGCTGGTGTCTTGCTGTTGAGGGCTGCTCTCCCTCTTGTTGGGCCAGGTGTTGGACATAGACAGGGAGGGATCTCCATGGCGACGGGACAGTGTTGGGGTAAGCATGCCTCCTGGGAGTGCAGCCAGTGGGTAGGAGGGCAGTAGGAATGAGCCAGATGTGGTGGGGTTAGAGGGAAGGGAAAATGTGCGCTCAACACTGGGGTTCCTCTGGAGCATGCGCCCTTTGGGTGCCACTATGAGAAAGGGTATTCACACATCAGGAACCATGAAAAACTGGGTGTAGCTGAGGGTAGTATGGTAGAGATATAGTTGATGTTTTGACTGGAGCTATTAGTCAAAATTCTTACCAACATCTGGGTCACAGAAGTTGGTGGTTTTGAAGATGTCAGGGTCTAAGTTGAGGCTTCCACTTCTCCTGAGGCGAGCAGGAGGCCTCCTTCTTCTGGAGAATTGATGCTTCTGTGGATCTAAAGAACCTAGATGGAAAGTATATTTTTCCATTTTGATTACAAATCTAACAGGCTTGCAAACTACTTATATCATAATTAACATGGCAGCAATGGTCCTCCAAAGTAAACCCATGATTTGTGAGTATGTATTATAAATGTTGGAAAAATCAATTATTTTGGCTGAGAAGTTATAGACAATCGTCATAGTCAATGAGTTTAGATTAAACTAAAAAAATAGATCATGACTGCACATTAGATTATTTATTACATTGGACTGTATTTAACTGTACTGGTAAGTACTTCGGGCAAACTTTGCAGCTGAAAAAGCTCAGAAGGTTTGAAGCCAAGTCATGCCTGTGAGCACAGACACACAGGCTGTATAGAGGGGATCAGACACAGCTACAGCTGAGTGGAAAAATATACTATGCCACACAATTTAATTTTATAGGCTACAGAAAACAACACTACAGAGAAGTATTAGGATTAGCACTAGCATGTGTCCAGACTACATAAGATATAGTAGGAGCAGTGGAAGTGAGTCTATTGCCTTTGTCAAACAGCCAATGAGTCAAACAGATACAATCCAATTTCAGGCGGGTCATCTTTAACATGACTGCGAGAAAGCCTTGCTATAGTTAAAATAGCAATAATGCTTCACATTTTCTCTGTAATATTCTTCTCGTAATAGTCTAGGGATTTAATGGTTTCTCAGTAAATCGCGGTAAATCCTTGACGATAAATTGAACTGCTTCAATTTATAATTACTGTCATGATTTGGTTGATACTGTAACAGCATGAGCTACTAGTGCTCTGGCTATGGCTAGCAACTGTTAGCATCCACTGTCGTGACGGTTGTGTTATTTTTATACGCACATTTGATTTACTTTTTTAAGGAAGTTCTCATTGTAAAACAAAAGGCTTGTTTACGAGGCTAAAGCCTTTCTTCTTAAATGTTAATGTTGCACATTTGATATGGTGTTACATGGTGCTATATTATTTTTTATTGATAATAAATCTTAATGATATTAATTCAGTTAATCTCTCAGTACTTTTTGAACATTTTGAAAACATTTTAACAACATCGCAATAACACTGACAACCCTACTCATTTTGTCAATATAATCATGATACAACAGCAAAATGGTTTTAAAACATTCATATTCTAGAAAAACATACATGTAAGCTTAATATGGTTGAAACTATCGAGTTCTTTTCTCCTGCACAAAGTGATAATTAGATGACTAAACCACTGACACAACAGTGTCTTGGCTTCTTGTGAGACTGCTGTGACACTATTCTGCCTTACAACTGTGCTCAACGCAGGGCATCTGGTGACATGTGGCGTAGTGACTCCAATGACTCAGCATGCCAATCCAATTTACAGCCGCTCTAATTTGAGTCCAGCTGAAGTTGACCGTGACATCCATTCCACTATACTCGTCACCTCATCTGGAAATAATGTGGGTGTCAGGTTGAGAGGAGGAAACATTGGCACTTACTAAAACTGGGTATGTAGGCCTCTGGACTTAGCTTCCTGGACAGGAGAAGGAAATCCTTGGTGGCCACCTAAACATACATGGGCAGAAAATTATTTATTTTTAATAGGAACAATATAGGATAAAGTTCAGTACAACAATCATTAACCATTACAAGAGCTTCAGTGTAATTCCATCCACTGGCCTGAACAAAGGGATGTGACAGATAATTATCCAGCTCAGACATGAGACGCTGGCCTTTGAGTGGATCTTAACTTAATGTACACAATGTTTACTGTTCTCCTTTAAGTTTTTCTATCAGCGTTCAGATAAATTCATGTCACAGAGAAACAGAGAGAGGGTCATAATAGATTTTACAGCCTTTTGAAAGAGAACAAGTGTTGCAGTTGAGGCCAGTCCCCTCCCTAAACAATCACAAACACTCACTGCAGACCACTTGGTGTGATTGCAATCAACACCAGAGCAGAAAATAAGGCATGTTTTACAAGCATAAGGCTGTGATGTTGCCAATTATGCTTCACGTTCCCTTCAGTAAATGTGCTGTGATAATGAGGTTGCTGGGAAACGAGATGCTGCAGTAAACAGAAGGTCTTTTAGATTGAGGCTCTAAGCAGGATGATAGCTTCCAGAACCAATATGGTCAATTAATAGCTCTTGTAACAAAGCAACTCGATGATGTATTATTGGAACAAACACATAATTTGTGTTTGTAAGCTTTTAACATGTGATGCAGACAGTCTGCTCAACAAAGTGGGAGGCTGGCCCTGGCTTATTTTCAAGACATGCTCATCTTTGCAGCGACAGCTAATAAATGGATATTCAGTGATACAGTTTAGTCTATTGTTACCCTGCCAACACATGAAAAGAAGCCAACCATTAAGCATTATGGAAAATGTGTTCCTATGGAAATGTGCATTTTATAATATTAAGATATTATATACAGTGAGAGATGGTTGAAGCAATACTGTTGTATACATAGATATGGAAGATATAACTGTGTCCCTCTCATTATGAAAGATTCCCCTAAACTCTCTCTAAGGACAGTGCCACCTCTACGATATTTTTAGTCTCTTTGGACCATTGCCTTTGAGTGTGACTCAGCTTGTTTGATCAACAGGGTAAAAGGCAGAAAAACTAAATTCTGAAATCATGGGAGAAACTGCAAGGATAACAGTTTTTTTACGGTGAAGTGCACCACTTATACCTACTCCTATGCTCGTTGCTATGTCTGCTGCCCCTGTATATGACCAGGGGCAAATCAACATAACTACTGTAGTATAATTTTTGGCCATCAAACCATGTCACTTATGAATGTCACTATATACCTTTAAGAATCTGCACTACAAACTAATGTGTGATTGAAACATGATTTACTACTGATTACAATAAGTTTGTGAATTTAACTACAAATCAAATCATATATTCTGTGTGTAACAAGCAGTATGAGGTGATTGTATAACTTGTGTGAAGAAATATTAATCTTTTAAAAAAGACAATCTGACCGAATTGAAACATAATGGTGTCAAATGTAAGAACAATATCTTTTAAAAATAGAAAGCTGATTGAACAAAAGATAATGGTGTCAAATGTAAGAACAATATCTTTTTAAAAATAGAAAGCTGATTGAACAAAAGATAATGGTGTCAAGAATGAGCAAAACTGTTTAAAAGTAAAATAGACATGCCTGGACATGTCTGGGCAAAACTAGTGTAAGATCACAACATGCCCAGTGTAAGTTTCCAGAGCTAGAAAAGTGACCAATTAAATGAGGACACGTGTGCCCACGATAAAACGAAAGACCAATGACCTACTGACACGTGTGTCCCCAAAATGATGATGACTAATGAAATGCCGACAGGTGTGGTCACTAAAGGGTTTATAAGACAGCACCACACGACTGTTAGGCAGAGTCCTTCTCTGGTTAAGCTCCGGCTTGCTACTGAATGCTCTCGGGTTTTTTGTCGACAATAAACTCTCGCTGCTTTTAAGTTGACATCTCCTGCTTTTTATTCGACTGGATTTTTGAACTTCTGGACCACGAGTGAAACTTAGTTTTCACCCACAACACTACCTGGCCACTGAGATGCCTGAGATGACACCCAAAATACTTTGGATGTCGAGGAATATTTTTAGAAGTCAATTAAATAAAAGAGGTGAACACTGCTTCCTGTATCAATAGCTGATTCATTAATATCAAAAACTAAGCAAAAAAAAGGGACACAATTTCTATCTGCGATCAGAATGAACTAATCTTCAGTTTACCTACCTCATGTTTGACAGAGAATTACGAATTTAGTAGAAGCATATGCTAAATCAGGGGAGGTTCCCGGATAGATTAATTATCACAAGAGATACGTGAGAATATAGGATTGATAAGATGAAGGACCCTACCTGTTCCGAGCACGTTCGATTAGGTGTATTGCATTTCTGGTCATTCACAGTGGATGAGAAGCTCAACATCTCCCAGGGAAGTTTGTTTTTCCCTTTGCCCGCACTGACAATCCTCCTTTGGAGTGGAAGGTCATCAGTGAGGGAGCCTAAGCTGCCATAGCCATACAATCGGTCAAAGTCCGGTTCAGTTTTGTTGCTCCTGGCACTGCTGATCCGCCCTCCATTCATCACCCAGTCCAGATCAGCTCCAGAACCGTACTGCAGTGTGCACCTCTGTCCTGGTTTGGACACAACTAAGCCATACTCCAATATTCCCTCTGAGGAGAGTTTAGGGAGGAGATGCCTTGCTCGTCTCGCCTGTACAGCTGCCATTAGACCCTCTGCATCCCCATTTAGCTCAACCATGTCCACAGCTTTCATTAGAAGCTGCTTTTTCCCTGTGTCAAGGCACGAGTCAAAAACAGCAAACAGCTCTAGGGCAGCATGTCGGACTTTCTTTTTGCTGTCTGCCAAATATGGTGCAACCTCATGACAAAGCTTAGGGATGTTGAAATCTCTCCTTGGATGAGTAAGCATAGCTACCATAATGATGTTAAGGACATCTTCCCTAACCCTTGAATTCTTGTGCTTCAATTTACTGACGAGATGATCTAATACTTGTTGCGGCGCAACAGTTTTCATCAGCCTTTGAAACGCCTTCATGTATTCAACCCTGGTGATGGTGCGAGCATCCCCAAGGGCCTTGAAGGCCACCAAGAGTAATAGTTTGAAATATTTCTCCACACTTGTGTCTAGCCTCTGAATGAGAATGTTTAAAACCTGTAAGGTGCCGAGCATCACTTGGAAATTACTGTCTTCCAGGAGTCGAGGGAGAAAATTGATTAAGTCCTCAACACTGTCAGAGGGGACTGACTTGATGTCCACCTCTGAGAGGACGCGTTTGAGTTCTTTCACACCATCTGTGCGGCTTTGGTAACTCTTTGGGTCCAGAAGCTGCTTGTGTAACTCCTGGGAGATCAATCCAGCGATCATGATTGATGGTGTGATGATGTGGTCAGAAGTCGGAATGGTTGGTGATTGAAAACCACCTTGCTGTAAATGCAAAACACAGTAAGGGCAAGTTCAAATTATGGCAGCGGTAGCTCATAAGGGCACTTCTGGTGTCAAAAGAAACTGCCATTGATATATACCAAAAAGTTCAAAGGCAGTTGCCATTGTTGCCACACTGTTCAAAGCAGATAAAAATACTTCAAAGAAACAAGTTTTAGTAACAGTAGGACCAGATACACCCTCCCTTTATATTTATGTTCTTTCTATGCTGAAAAAGATGTATTCAGTGTTTTTGTGTTACAAGACAGCACCATTCCTGTTGGCCTCAGAATCTGGTTACATCACCTGGGCAGTCTTGACATGATCTGCCCCAAGACTGTTCTGTGGATTGGAAAGTACAACTGACTTAATATTTGTAAAACACTATAGGCTAACAAACCTTGAAATTGTCTCTACAGCAATACCTAAAGCTGCTAGACTAAAGACAAGTGAAGGAAAGACATTTTCTACTGATTGTGCAGATACATGGAAACTAACAATACATTCAACTGATTTGTGTATATCTGCAGAAAAAGACCAGATATTGTTGGTACAAAAGTGTAGAACTAGAACTGGCACTTAAACACTTCCACACACACTAGTGTATAGATATAGACGTGGCTCCATCAAATCTCACACCGCCTTCTCCAACACGTTTGTCCCGAGTTACATTCATCATTACGAGCTGTTGATTATATAAAAGAACTGTGAAACTTACTGATGATCCCAGAACCAGAGGGAAAATGCTTCAGATAAAAACCAATATGTCTGGATATTTAGTAGAGAAAAACATTCACAAACTAGATCAAATCTCCCTGAATAAGTCACTAATAGCGGTAGTTGCTCTTAGACAGTGTGACAGCAAAGGCAGCTGCCTCCAAACAGCGTGGCAACAGAGTCAGATGCATCCAAACAAGGTGGAGGCTGCCGCGACAGGTGCCCTAATGCAGCTTGGCAGCAGTGTGATTTCAAGTTTCAGATCAATGACACAAAACATAAGCAAAGCATTAACAGCATTTAAGCAGAATCAAAACAAATATGACAAAAAAAGCAAAGATATACGATCATGTTTCACAATAAAAGTGGTGTAATACAGATCAATTATTCTTGGTGCTCAGAACAGGAACACGCTGATAAACATTCATAAACTACGTATAAATCTCAGGGTCACAAAAAGCGGTAGTTAGCCTCAAACAGGGTGGCAGCACTGGAACCTGCTCCCAGGCTGTGGCAACTGACAACTGCCTTTACATATCTGGAAGGTGGACAAGGGTGAGTAAATGAGGGTGAGTAAATTCCTACTTGCTTGACTGTAATAAGGAGCTTGGTGACAGCGTGGGTACCAATGCTTATGAGCACTTAGACACATAACTGTGCATATTCTAACCATTTTAATTGGGATTGTGGTGCAGCTCCACCACGACATCCTGGTACATCACCACAGCAGCGAATGGACACAACCACTTGTGGCTGTCGGCAGTCATGAGCACACCGATGGAGATAACCATCACTCCTGTACGTTACACGATTCCCTGCTGTTGTGGTTAATATAAAGTGTGTTGTCGTATAAACGACACCAAACAATGTCTTTTATTAGCTTCTTAACAACACGTTAGCGCCGAGCAGCCTCATTAGTTAGCTAGCAACAACAACAAACATTTGGTAAGTACAACAGCGCTCAAGAGGTGCTAAGCTAACTCCGCTAATTGCGTTGTAGTGTTTGGTGCTGACGGACTGAGCTAGCAAAGTTAGAAAAACAGAAAGAACACATACCCCGCATTTCTCTCGGTCCTCTCCGGCGACGCTCGACGAGACTAAAACGCTACGTTGTCCGAATACCCATGTCGTACTGCGGCGGCTACGGCTCTTCTCCGTGTGCAGACATGTTTCCCCACGGTTGTTGGAGCTGGTGAACGGACTGAGGAGTGTTAAGGGAGCTGCGGGGGTTGTCAGGTCTAGAGGAGCCCACACAAACACACACATGTACACGCGTAGTCACACTCACACACACACACACACACACCGAGGAAGCAAAATGGCGAATGCACGTCGCAAACTGAGCGCTTCCATGGTGACGCGAGCTCCAGGCTCCTCCAGGCGGCATCCCCGTCACACAGCTGCGGGAGAAGAGTGAAAGAATTAAAGGCCCCATATTGTGGAAAATACATTTTGGGACTTTTACGATACGTCAATACTTGATGGGGGTCAGTAGGTACCTTCAAAGTATGAAAACAGTCAGTACACAGACTTTTTCACTTAGTCCATCATTCTAAGAAAGTTCACATGCAATCATCAGAACCACACTAGGTGCAAGTTCCTTGTGAATTGATTGAGTTGAGTTGATCTGCATGTGCCCTATGGTTGAACTGGTGTGCAAAGTCTCAGTTCAGTAAAATCACAGGTTTGCATTGCACGTTAATGAGAATGCTGATTCACTCTCAAGCAACCAGCTCATCAGGGAAGCCAATATATTAGGTAAAATATCCAAAGGCAAAGAAGGGCACTGCACAGCAAAGCCAGTGAAAACAGGGTAAACATATGGTAAGAGACACAAATAGTTTTGATCACAACATTTATTTTTATTACAAAGTTAAGTTGCACTTTAATGACTGAAAATCAGGACCTCACAGACATGTCACTGTCTTTTTGCAATTTTTTTTTACATTACATTTTTTACATTTCGATCAAAGTGTGTGATTGTTGCAAGTCGTTTATTTTCTGTAATAAAGTAATTTTCTACAGAACACAAGTGCCTCATATGTTTCATTTCATCAAGTG